ACTGCCTTTGTACTGTTCTTTACATTAGATTTTTCAATATGAAAAATAAAATCCCAGGATTCTCTACACTGTGTTCTTTCCCTTCAAGAATCATGATCTTTAAAACACTTTTGAAATGGACATTTACAATTATAATTACTTTATGTTAAAAGATCTTCTTTTCTTGGTGTAGTATAATGATCTTAAAAATTCAGATCCACTTCTTATAATCTATATTATTCGTTCATTTGCATCAAAGTAAATTTAATCTTGGAAAATCTTTGCTTAAATGCAAAAAAATGGGAAAAGAATTTGGATAAAAGGTAGAATACCATTTCATTACATTTTAAAAGCTTAATAGTGTCTTCAAAGTAATGTGTAATACTTTATATGTCATGGTCACCTCATCCCCCACCACCAGCACATACCCTGTCTACTCCCATCTTACTCTTTCTTCCTTTTTCTCTGTGTAGTTTGGTCAAAATCATGGGTTGGGAAAGAAGTCAGAGTTTATGGTGATTGATAGTGCTGAAGTAAGAATTGAGTAATTTTGCCTAACTGTATCATCTTCCCTTTTTAAAAACTTTTAACTGAACTACAATATACATATAGAAAGATGTATTTTATACATTTTTGCAAACTGAACACACCCAGCACCCTGCTCAGGAAATATTGACTGTGCCTTAGAAGCCCCTTTCCATACTCCCTCCCCTTCCCCTCCACCCCCACCCAGGACAACCACTCTGCAGACACCCGGCAGCACATGTCAGTGTCACCTGCTGGTTTAACTTCATCTGCCTGGAATCATTCAGTACGTACTCTGTTATTGTGTCTGGCTTCCTTCACTCACTGTTATGTTGTGAAATCCACATTCTTGCATTGAGATGTAGTTAACTCGTTCAAATATTTAAATAAATCCAAATGTATTTTTCCATTCAACTGCTAGTGGGCATTTGGACAGTTCACATTTTGGGACTCTAACAACTGGCACTGCTGTGGCCAAGGGATGTCTTGTGCCTTATATGGGTGTGCACTCATTTCTTGCAGGCACTCACCTAGGAGAGGACCTACAGGGCTGCTGGACACAATAGATATTTTATGTTTATCTCTCTACACTTCAGGGTATATCTAAAATCTTTTATTTCCCATTCGTCTGCTGGAGAGTTTAGTTTAGAGTTGAGTTCCACCACCTGATCAACGCCATTATTCCTTCACTGAATATTTGCTTAGCTCACCTTGTGTCCAGCACCATGCCAGCCACTGGCCCTGGAATAATGAGCAGATCCCTACACGGTTCCTGTCCTCACCAAGTTTACAGTCTCAGGGAAAAGAGATCTGTTGTTCAAGGGATCACACAATATAGCCTCAAACGACAGTACGTGTAGGGGGTTTAACGGCATTCTCCCAAAATGTGTGTCCAGCTGGATCCTCAGAATAAGACCATCTTTGGAAAGTGAGTCTTTGCAGAGGTAATCAGTTAAGTTAATTGTTCTGGATGATCCAGTGTTTGGCATTTATAAGGAAAAGGAGAGTGGGATCAGACACAGGGACACAGAAACACACAGGCCAAGAAGGTCACGTGGAGACAGAAGCAGGGATGGGGCATTACAGCTACAAGCCAAGGACCTCCAAGCATGGCTGAGAATCACGAGAAACAAGAGAAAGGCAAGGAAGGACTCTCCCCTGGAGCCTTCAGAGAGAGCATGGCCCTGCTAGCACCTTGATTTTTGACTTCTAGCCTCCAGAATGCTGAGAGAGTAAATCTCTATTGTGCTAAGCTAACAATCTAGTGGTAACATGTGACAGGAGTCCTAGGAAACTAATGTAATGTGGATTCAATTGAACCGTAAGAAAATGCAGATTTTCAACTGCTTTGAGCCACACAAACAGCAATATTATAGGATTCATCCTAACATGTTATGAGCTTGTAAGAGGAAAACTTTGTCAGAGAAAGCTTCTCTGAGGAATTTCTAGTAGAACTGAAATCTGGAGAACAAGTAGAATTTGATGGAGTTCAAGAGAGAAAGAAGAAGAGAGGGGAGCCCGGCAGAGGGGCGGCAGAGGGACGGGAGGTACGGAGGTTCTGAGGTAGAGGGTGCAGATCTTTCCGAGCAACTGAAGGATGTGACTGGAACCTGGTGTGGGGATAGGGCTAGCTGAGGCTGGACAGGCAGGGAGGCACCAAAACAAGGCCTTTGAGCCTAGATCAAAGATTGAGATTTTGACCAGGTATGGCAGCTCACACCTATAGTCCCGGCTACTCAGGAGGCTGAGGCAAGAGGATCGCTTGAGCCCACAAGTTTGAGCCTGGCCTGGGCAACACTGCAAGATCCCATATCTTTTTTTAAAAAAAAGTTTCTATTTTTGTTTGTTAAAACAAAAGTTTCTATTTTTGTTTGTTAAAAGCGGTGGATAGCCAGGCGTGGTGGTGTATGCTTGTAATTCCAATGACTTAGGAAACTGAGGCTTGAACCAGAAGGCAGAAGTTGCAGTGAGCCAAGATCACACCACTGCACTCCAGCCTGGGCGACAGAGCAAGACTTATCTCAAAAAAAAAAAAGAAAAGAAAAGAAAAAGGCAATGGAATGCTATTGAAAGGTTTTAAGACAGAGCATGAGAAATTACAATAACCACAGAATGAAGAACAGATTAGAAAGAGCTGAAGCAGACGGAGAAATCACTGCAGGGAGTGCAGGAACCCAGTGGTACATTGGCCAGGGAGGCACTGGTGGGGATGCAGGCAGTGGGCAGGCCAAGAGGTTTTTAGGAAAGAACTCTGTGTTTTTATTTCAATGACATGTCCCAATTAATATACCATTTGCCCTTTTGTCTCTTCGAAGACATTGAATTCTCATAAAATATACATACAGTGCTGATACATCTAGAGCCCCCAAGTCAACTCTTCTGACCATGTGTCTCTATTCTGCTGCCCATGAAGTCTCTTGGAATAGAAGTAGTGCCTTCATTTTTTTTTCTTATTTCTCTCTTTCCTCTCTACCTTGTATTTCCAAGCACTTTGTTCCTATATTTACCCAGAGTGGCCATTCTATTTTATTATCATTGTCTGTTTATAGAACCATCTATCCAGTTATACTCTGGGCTCCATGAGGGCAAGTGCCGTGACTTATTTGTTTTTATATCCCCTGAACTTAGCACAGAACCTGACCTATAAGATTTGATTTATAAGTGACAGTATCCATGCATAAATAAATGAGTCGGCAAATGCATGAGTTAACAAATACTTTATTTCTGCTTTATCTTATCACCTTTGGCCGGATATACCTGCCTTACACTCTGATCTGATCTAATAAATTAACTGCTTTTTCTATTTCTGCTCTATTTACCACTGACAAATATTTTTCTACTAGTTGTATCAACTTATAGAAAACAAGACTCTTCCTGGCAAATCTCTTTATTCGTATATGGAATCGTTTTTCTGATTGTGTACATCTCACGGAGATGCTACTAGTTTTTGTTTTGTGTCTTTGGGAGCGTATTCCTTGCCATTGTCATCATCATAACCATGGAACTGTTGAGAACACACCATTTTGCACACATTACTGTGTTGAGCACTCCAGTTAGGAGGGGAGGAGGCAATGAACAGCAGTGACTCCTTCTCTAAATAAGATTACCATCTAAGACAGAAAAACCAAAGGCTACCCACAAAATCAAATCAGACTTACAAATGGCTAAGGTAAATGTTTATGTTACACAAAACAAAAATGTAAGAGCAATTTCTGCAGCCTACTAAGAAAACCAGAAATCAGGATCATCTCATCATGAGCTCACAACCAATTGGATAGTTGAATTATCCATCATACTGAAATGGGAATGTTTCCCCAAAAAGAAGCCTTCATCTTCTCCTTAGCCAATTTGTATTTCCACGTGCAAGAGGGATGCATTGCCAATTCTCTTCCTGTTTTAAAATCTCTCTTGGCCTCTAATTCTTATCTTTCCACAACACCTAAGACAAATTGTAGTTATAGAGTAAAAGCATACCCAAAAAGGAGGTAAATGAGCAGATAGTTTTTGAAACCTGCCTCCCAAACCCCTCCAAAAAGGCAGCCTGAACTAAATGTACTATTTGAAAGGGATCAGCGTTAAAAGATGCAGTTTGGGGAGCCGGGACAGAAGACAGGGCAGACATGGGGAAGTGTGTTCCAGTCTGCAGAAGATCCGGGAGAAGGGGAGAGGTAAACAGAAGTAAAGAGGGACTCCAAGAGACATCTGCACTAGGAGAGAAAAAGAGAGCATAGGAAAGTGCAGCATGAATTGTGCAAGCCACAGTCCACCTTCACAATATCTTAGTTCAGCCTTGTTCCAGTTTATGATGTTAAACCTGAGCTTCCCTGAAACTCAATTTGTAGAAATATAAATATATACTCTTAAATAAATCCATTTGATTGTCATTTCTCACAAAGACATCGTATGGCATTTAAGTTCGTCGTGTCCAAACATGTTTGCAGCTAAATAGAAAACTCGCTGCATGGACCAAAGGTGGTGGTTCTGTTTTGAGCTTTTCTGTTTTAATCTGCTAGATGACATAACCAATTGTCTTGCCATTGTCTCTCTTTGCAAATGCTACTTGGTATGATTCTGTAGTTAATTTTTTTTTTATTTTTCATGTTTTTTAAAATTTTTAATTCTAGCTTTATACGTGTGTAAACAAATTTTATTGTTTAAATATGCAAGTAATAGTAAACCATTCAAAATGTCTGAGATGAAAAGAGGCTTCTCTTTGGGAATAAAATAACATAACGTTTTCCTTGAATTTTTTTTCCGGTTTAGTTTTTTGTTGTTGTTGTTAAGTTTTATTTTTGTTTATTTCTGTAACTAAAAAGTTTTAGCTCATGGAGCAATTTATTTCGGGTAAGAGTCATATACTTGGTAGGCCTTCGCTGCCATCTACTGGCATTTCATGTAATTACTTATTATTGCTTCCATTCTAAAATTAATTTTGTGTAACATGTATAATAGTATTATAGATTCCCCCTTTTTTCTTCTTTCCATTTTTTCTTTAGTTAAAGCAAAGTGAAGCAAATGCAGACACCAAAGAAAAGCTCCCTTTGCGCCTGCGAATCTTTGAAAAATTTCCAAACAGACCACAAATGGTGAAAATCTCAAAGCTTCCTTCAGATTTTACAGTTCCTAAAATCAGGTACCAAAGTATTCCTTTAATTGCATGTGTCACATACATCGTAAAAGATTCACCATCTTAAGTCTCATTTAACCCTTCTTTTAAGTATATGTGGGTTGGGTTTCTTTCTATTTTAACTTATTACCTATCTTTCTACTACCTCTACCTCTATTTTTAAAAAATAAATAAACAAACAACTTTGACCTTTTAAGCAATGTATTCAGAGAAGAGTCACTTTATAACTGCAGTAGCCTAAGCAAGAAGGCTGCTTCCCATCGCTTCTCTCTGGGATGACTCCTCGGGAATGGGACGGCCCAGGAAACTGGAGAAGCTGTTCAATGTTGCAGGGATGGCAGGTAGACATCCATCTCTGACCCCAACCATATAAGACTAAAATTGCCTCTGTGGCCCTTTTATCTTCAAGCAAACAGAGAAACCACAGCTGGCCCAGTTTGTGTACTACTACAGCATTTATTTAGCCTACCATGTCAGGTTACCATATAATTTGTCTTCCACTTTTTAAAAGAAGAACCATGGCATTTCTCCACTCGTACTAATTTGATTTTCTACCATGTTTGCCCTCCAGTTAAGCAAATGCATAAAAGATGCTTTAAACACCTATTTTTAATAATAAAAGGAAATTCTTCTAGTTATAGCTCAAGAAATTACAAATAGAATTATAGTAATATGTTACTAGTTTTAAAAATAATTCTGTGGAGGGTTATAAAAGTATGAGACTCGATGTGGTGCCATAATATTTAAAATTCAGATAGAAATATATTTGCATTTCTAATCTTAAAAAACAAAATTAATTGAATTTGGTAATTTGAAGAGACGTTACTTGAATTTTCATTATGCTTTGAAGATCAGATGAAGGCACTTGCTTTTGAGTCTTAAAATGTAAAATTCTCTCTTAATCATTCTTATGAGAAATGGACATTTAGAGAGAGCAACTAATTCTTCCAAGTCTTAGAGGGGAAAAAAGGTGTTTTATTACCACAATAAGATTCCAAAAACTGGGCTGGGTGCGGTGGCTCACACCTGTAATCCCAGCACTTTGGGAAGCCGAGGCGGGCAGATCACCTGAGGTCGGGAGTTCGAGACCAGCCTGACCAACATGGAGAAACCCCCATCTCTACTAAAAATACAAAATTAGCCAGGTGTGGTGGCTCATGCCTGTAATCCCAGCTACTCTGGAGGCTGAGGCAAGAGAATCGCTTGAACCCGAGAGGCGGAGGTTGCAGTGAGCCAAGATTGTGCTGTGGTACTCCAGCCTGGGCAACAAGAGTGAAACTCCATCTCAAAAAAAAAAAAACAGATTCAAAAAACTACCATCAGTTACTGAGTAATATTGCTTGAAAGTTATTTCAAGGGTTTTGCTTTTTAAGCAGGAGTCACTGAGTTTCTAGGAAGCCGTTGCTAATGAAATATTTTCGTCATGGTCTAGTTGTCTATGATCTTTTGTCATTGCTTTATCTTTGCTCAAGCAAACTTATCATTGCAAAATGCTATCACTTGCTCCATTCCATTAATAATGCCTGATGTGCATATACTTCATTTGCAAAGGGAGAGTTTTATGAAGCAGTTTATCGACCGCCAGCAACAGGACACATGTTGCCTCCTGAGAAGCCTCCCTTCCACCTCTTCCTCGTCCTGCGACCACTCCAAACGCTCAGCAATTGAGGACAACAAATACATCGACCAAAAAGTAAGCTCCGCTGTTTCAAATAACCAGGCTTCTAAAAAGCATGTGTGTTTGAGAAAAGAACTGCAGAGTTCTTTAGGGTCCTGGAATCCAATTTCTCAAGAGAATAATTTTTAAAAAAAGATTTCATTTGTAAAAGATATCATGAAACCTAACATTTTTTACTGTATGCGTTGAAATTTTGCATTTCTCCGTGTCAGCTTTTGAGCTGTGCCATGTAGCAGCCATGAGACTTTGTAAACATCAAGAGCCTCCCAAATCTGCATTTTCTCATGTGCAGAATAAAGGGCCAGGATCTCCAAGGCTCAGTCCAGGTGTAATGACCTGCCACCTCCTGCAGGTACAACTGCTTATGTATACTTATTACATCAGAGAGAATACCAGAGTAGGTTTCTCTAAAATCAGTCAAAAGAATTGCCATTTATTCAATGCTTAGTATGTGGCAGGAACTTAGGGTCAAGAGCTTATTTGTGTTCTAGTTTACCTATTTCTTTATCATTTGAAAAGTAGATGGGAAAATTTTTTTTCAGATTCCACAGCAAAATATTAATAGGGAACCATATATAAATAAAGCAAATTTAGGTAATAATTGTAAAGAAATGTAACTTTTCATTTATTCACTTTTTTAAAAAATAATATAAGGGCTGGGTGCCATGGCTCACACCTGTGTAATCCCAGCACTTTGGGAGGCTGAGGCGGGTGGATCACTTGAGGTCAGAAGTTCGAGACCAGCTTGGCCAACATGGTGTAACCCCATCTCTACTAAAAATACAAAAATTAGCCAGGCGTGGTGGTGGGTGCCTGTAATACCAGCTACTTGGGAGGCTGAGGCAGGAGAATCACTTGAACCTAGGAGGCAGGGGTTGCAGTGAGCTGAGATTGCGCCACTGTACTCCAGCCTGGGCAACAGAGTGAGTCTCCATCTCAAAAAAAAAAAAAAAAGACATAAGACATAAAATGTATTGCCTGGGTACAATAAGTAAACATTTATATATACACACATATTTGTGTGTATATATGTATGCATAGTATCAAACTATCTATCAGCTTGGTCACATAATGTCAGTTCAGTTAGAAAATGAAAGATTAATAATTATATGTTAATATTAAAGAGATTAAACAGTAGAGTTTGCAAAAACATCTAGCTTACTTGCAAGCATTCACTTTGGAATTCCTAGAGTGTTTTTTATTCCTTTACATTGTTACTGCCCTTTTTCTTTTGCTTATAACAAAATCCATATTTCTCTGTGGTCATGTGACAATAAAATGCCAACTCTTTCATCCTCCAGGATCATCTTTCTCTCTACATTCTTTCCCTTCCCACAGGGATGAACCTCTGGAATTCCCTTGCCTTTCTCTTTATCTTGCCTCCCCTTTTTCTCCTCCTTATTCTTGCCTCCCCTTTTTCCCCCTTTTTCACCTCCCCTTTTTCTCCTCCTTTTTCTCGCCTCCCCTCCCCTAATGTGATACTACTTCTCCCGTCTACCTCTCCCCCAGTTCCCAGGTTCTCTGCTGTAGTTCAGTCATGTTGCTCTTGATGAAAATGATGATGATTTTCTGTGCAGGATGTCTCTTCTTTTTCAAGGATTTCCATGTGTTGATTTTCCTTCAGCCATCTAGAGATGCTATTCTACTATCTTTGCAGAATCCAAGATTGTAGATGACAAGTCTGATGCCAATGTCTTTTTTTTTTTTCTTTTTAGTAATTAGGCTTTTGTTTGGTAGACTTGGTTTGCTTGTTTCTTTGGGAAAACTTGCAAGATTTTCTGTGTGTCACTGGAGTTCAGAACCTTTCTTAGGATATTTCTTATATGTCTTTTTTCATCAGAACTGCTCCAACGAGAGTCTTTTCAACTCCCCAACTAAGATATTTGCTCAGGGAAATTTCCATTTGTTTTACATTCAATTGTTACTCTTCCATCTGCTTGTTTCTCCCCTAGGATTGCCATCTCTCTGTTTTTGCTCTGTGCTTGGTCTTCCAGGACACTAATTAGATTTCAACTGAGATCATCCTTTGCTTCTAAATTTCTAGTGAAAAATTATGATATGGACATATTACACTTAACTATCCTTAGAGGCTTGCATATTACCCTTAGCTATCCTTAGAGGCTTTACTTTTATCTTTTATTTTATTTTATTTTTTTAGAGACAAGGTCTTGCTGTGTTGCCCGGGCTGGGGTGCAGTGGTTATTCACAGGCACGGCCATAGTGCACTATAGCCTTGAACTCCTGAGCTCAAGCGATCCTCCTGCATCTACCTCCTAAGTAGCAGGGACTACAGGCATGGCCACCATGCCTGGCTTTTTTTATTTTTATTTTTTTAACTAAACTTGTCACCTCTCTTCTTCACAGTTATAATCCACTCAACACTGTGCACAGGGCATGGAAGCAGAACGTCTTATGTCAGTGGATAAACAAGTGGGAAGATAGTGTCTTGCCTTCAGCCAGTCAGTCTGAAATTGCAGTTTGCATAGACTAGAAAGCAGGTTTTGTTTTGTTTCCAAAGCAGATTGTAATCCAGAAGTCTGGGCTGTGGTTGTGACCACTTATCTCCAGGAAGAGGATTCAGAGCTGATAGGCATTATGGCCAAAGTCACAAAACCATGACATGCTTTTAAAAATCTCTAGTAACACTATCCCACCGGAAACACAAAATTGAAATATGAGTTTATTTTCTCTCTAAAAGGAAATGTGATTGTTTCTCATATTTCCTGAACACGGTATTTTGATTTGGTGAGGACAAACATAAAAAGATTCTTGAGAGGTGTGTGCTGGGCTGAGGAGGAGTCTAAAGAGAACGTGACCTGCCCCTCTGAGCACCCGCCCGAAGCGAACCCTCCCCAGGTACAGTTGGAATAACACGGTTTATCCCGTACAGCATGTATTATTGCCCCCACTTGGAAAGTGGAATGTCAAAAACGTATTTTTTCTTCATCAGAGGACCCTAGATGGGAGGCAGCAAGACAACTGCTCCTGTTACTTATCCACGCTTTCTTAAAGCTTTGACTTGACCTAGGTTGTCAGAAAAGTAGACTTAATTCTTTTCAGGATCCACCATTTTCGGCAATAGTTCCCACCGTTCTTGGTGTTCTTCATAACACCCTTGTCGAGTGCCCCTGGGCCAGGGAAATCGAAAGCAGAAAATCCCTCTTCAAAGGATTTCCGTGATAAGGATTTAATTGAAGCAGAAATTGCGGAGACAGCATTCTGGCATTTGTATTATAAATACGGCAAGCCTTTTTCATTTTTATTAAGAAACTTGAAAGCCGCTTAAAAACAAGAGCGCATAAACACAGAACAAAAATTCCAATCATAGACCCTACCACCATTAGCTCCCCTTATAAAGTATTTTCCGGCGAGCACTTGGAAATTTCCATTAAAATCCCAATTGCCTTTGGAGATGCTAGTCACAGTAAAGTGGCAGGCAAGGTTCTTCACTCTACATGAAAAAAAACCACCCAGCCCTCTGCAAATTGTGCAAATGGAGGCTATTTTTCCTCAGTGACTGGAGTGAAAGGAAAAGGACATTAGAGGATGGCTTATCGGTGATTCTCATAACACACACAAAGGAACAATAAAATAAAACTGTTCTCTTAATGGTTATCTTGTACAGGAGAAACTTCTGACTTCGCTGTGCTAGAGGGAATCACCTTTCTCTTTCCAGGGAAAATAGTGAAGCCCCAGGTACCTGAAGACTATAAGTTAAGGGAGGGAAAAAAACTGACAGCAACCCCGCAAGGGGGCTGGGGTTTGATGAAGCATTGCAGAAAACACAAAAGCACATTAGGCAAGATTTTCTCCCAGTAATTGCCCCGGCTTTGAACAGGGATGAGTAATTCCCATGGCAACCTCACTTTGCAGAAACCATGTTTTTAAAAATAGCCCCGGTGGATCACCTTTATTATGCAGTTTAAAATACCTGTCCTTCTCCCAGAAAACAACCAGCAAACAAAAATCTTTAAAATATTGGGATTGACCCAGATCCTAAAAGGAAGAGACAGGAAAGAGTATTTTCTGCCTGTCATTTGAGACTCCATAGAAACGACCTTCCCAAGTGATCATTCCCCCATCCCTTTATCCTGCTACCTCCCTTGCCTGTGAGCAATTGTGAGACGTTCCTTTTCTTCCTGATTCAAGGACCTTGAGAGGGGCTTTTCCAGTTTCCAAGCAAAAAGCAAGCAAGCAACAGTTTCTACTTGTATTTTTCCTCCATATTATTGAAATTAAACTCTAGATTCCTTAAACAGAGTGGTGATTAATAAAGTGAAATGTGAACTTGATTTTCCAGTAACCCTGTAATAAAAGCAGCCCACTCTATCCTCCGAAGCGAGACATCCAGTCAAGGTCAAGGTCTCACCTGTGGTTGAGTCTAGGGCGTCTCACTGCCCTGTGGCCTGAGGATGGTTCTGTGCTGCTATCTTGGCTGATGCACCATTTCCTATGTCAGAACCTGCAATAGCCTGGGAAGCATGAGTGAACCTCCTAGAGCCACGCCAGCCTGAGACACGTGGAGGATGAGGGCTGTCCCAGCACCTCCACTTCGTGCCCCTGTACTTCCCAGCATAGACTCTGAGCCCATATAATAATGAACAGTGAATATTTCTCCAACAGTAGGGCAATGTCTGCCCACCCTCTTGTCAGCCTCCTTTCTGCTGAAGCATATAGATAGTTCTTTAATAAGCCTTCACAATGAACAGCTAGCTTAGGTACAGTAAAGAGGAAAATGAGCATTGGAATGACTGTGTGTTGTTTACCCATTTTATTTTATAACTCGTCAACATTCATTCAGTCATTCGACAAACATTTATAGAGCACCCATTATTCATTTGCCATTCTCTGGGCTGTGGGAATTCAACAGTGAGCAAGATGCGAACTGTACCCTTGAGAAGCTCATAGTCCAATGGGAGGAGATGCACACACATGCATGAAAGTAAAAAGTATTACTGGAACCATGAGGCAGACCCCCCTAAGTTCCCCTTACAGAAGAAACATGATTGATTGAT